AAGAAGAAGAAGAAGAAGAAGAAGAAGAAGAAGAAGAAGAAGAAGAAGAAGAAAGAAGCTTTTACGCTTACTTTATTTACTTTACTTTATCCGTCCTCTTGTAGACTACCCCAAGGGCGTCGAGGGAAGAAAGAGATGCAAGTTTGATGGCCTGGCTGGGTGGAATGTTATATGTTCGCCTTCACACCCTCGATCCAGATTTTTTTTGGTCTTCCTCTTGTCTTGTACCCTGATATTTTTCTGTAGTAGGCTTTAATGGTAAGCTGGTGAGGTGTCATGCGTGTCAGATGTTAAAACCACCAGATTGTTTGCCTTCGAATGTAGTGGGGTACAGGTGTTGTTCCCATCATTTCTCTGATCTCTTTGTTTCTGATCATGTTCCGTCTGGTTTTGTTGACATCTCTCTTAGACATCTCATCTCGCAGGAGGTAATCTTATGTTCCAGACTTTTGGTCAGAGTCCTTGTCTGGCATTGGTAGGTCAAGGTGGGGGTGAAGATAGAGTTAATGAGCTTGGCTTTTAGTCTCTATGGGGATGTTAGGATGTATGAGGAGTGGGGCAAGCTGGTAGCTGACGCTGTTAGCCTTTTGTACTCTCGTCTCAGTTTCTCTGTTGAGACGCCCGTCTTCCGAAAAGATACTACCAACACACTTGAACCCGTTGACTTGTTTCAGCGTATATCTGTCGATGCTGGTGTCAAGGTTGCCAGGAGTTCTGTTGATTTTCATCGTCTCCGTTTTGCTTTCACTGATCTTCGTGTTGAGCTTTTCACATTGTGTATTCAGCCTGTCTGTGTGCTCTTGAAGTTTCTCTTCTTTCTCATATATGCCAAGCTTTGGTCCTCGCAAACAGCGTTTCATTCAGGTCTATCTGGTTGGGGTTTGCTTCTTTTGTAATTTTGTCCATGTATATTATGAATAGTAGCAGTGATAACACACACCCTTGTCTCACTCCAGATGATACGAGCTTTTATACTTAGAATATAATACACACGTATTTATAAAAGAAAGACACCATGATAAAAAGCAGGAGTGGGTGGTTGGTAGTTTTCTATAGCGTGGTTTGCTCTTTCTTTCCTATTAAATAATATGATATAAACTATTGTCCTTATCTCTCCTTCTTTTCTTTGTTATTCTCTTGTAACACTCATTTTCTCGAACTGATGTAAGTAAATTGTGTTATAATATCACTGATGTTCTGGTTTTTCACTTTACACACTAAAAAAATGTGATTCCGATTGCCAAAAGGAGAAAATCTTTTGTTGGCTATCTCTGCTTTTCTGTTGCGATGCCGTGCATTCATAAACCAATTAAAACTTTCCCGGCATCAACGTATATGATGCCGCTCAGTTGCAACTTTTAAAAAGAATGTTGCCAAAAGGCACGGCTGCTGTTCACCCCTATCTCTGAGAAACACAGAACCAAAGAAGACAAGTAGGCTTACACCTGCACCTCGTGCTTGTTCCGCAAAAGAAAATCTCAATTAAATGAAATCGTTTCTGAGTTTTTCTTTTAACAAGGTTACGAAATCATGACAGACAATCTTGTTTCTTTACGTGATGCCTCCGTGAATTATGTTTTCGCCTATTGATCATGAATTTCGATCATATACCCAAAAAAGTCGCCTCTACGAATCGAAAACAGGGTGATTATAAACATGGCCTTTGAAAACGTCCACATGTAAAATCGATTTCAATATACAATGCAATTTGTATTTTCCTTTCCCCAAATGTGGTTTTCTTTTTGACTGCATGACATTTTGATGCTTTCCTGTTCTGAAGACAATGTCAGAAAAAAATAGTTTAAAAAAGATTTATCAGAAATACGTAGATCTAGGCTTACAGTCATGTACCCCTACGGTGTATGAAACAAGTGAAACAGAAGAAATTATTTCTTGACTGGTAGGAAAAAAGCAATGTTTGCCACCATCATTATATGCAAATTCCAAGAGAGCATTGTAGATTATTTTGTTTTCCCTGTTCTCAAAGTCACAGACCAACTTTTCCGTCTCAGATATTGCGACCGCGTGTCCAGAAAATTTTGAAGAAAAGCAAAATGTTCTCAGGTGAGACTGTATGGAGGTTTACAAATGCTGTCACTTTATTGAGCAGAGGAAGACAAGAATCACATCATTATCACAGATTTAACTTATTTGAAAAGGTCTAGAATTAATAATAGTATTGCATTAATTTCATGTTAATCCTTAAATCTTTACCCTGAGAAAAGGAGCTTAACCTGAATAAAACCGACAAACACATCAGTACATATTCTTATGTGAATCATAGTACGTAGTGCTTTTTATTGGGTATGGGAAATGGACGCAAATAATAACAACAATTAAAGTCCTTCAGTGTTCGGTCTAAGCTAATCACTGCAGACCAACAGCATCTCCATTGTCAAATTATATTCACAGCAATCACCGTAGACAAACAGCACCTTCATAATTATCAAATTATATTCACTTTGTCGGCTCCAAACAAGGTAACAAGATAGAATGAGTCACAGTAGACGTGTTGCTCTGTTGGTAGTGCATGTTGATCAGGCATATTACCGTATTGATTCCGGCAACACGTGCGGAGGTAACAGATGGACGTGCTGTATTCAGCTCGTTGTCTACACACCCAATAGTATACCCAGTCATGCAGATCAATCCTGGACCACTAACGATACGTTTAGTATTGCTAACTCGTGCGGATCTTTTGTAAAGGTCTCAACTGAAAATATTTGGGGATACTCTTCCCATCACAACTTACTAAGGAAAGGATGCTGATGTCCAATAATATGATTCTGATACAAAGGTTTGCTACATCGGGACGATTGAATTTATTTGTGAACCAGGCTGCACGATGGAAATTTAGCGGTGTATGACACGAGCGAAAAGGATTATTATTGTTAGGGGAACTTCATGGTGTGCTTACTAATCATTTTTACTTTTATTTGACAGTGGTGGCATAACCTAGCAATGAATTCTACATGACAATGTGCATCTAAGTTTAAAACAATAAAAAGGAGAACAGGAATGTTTTCCAGTGTGATGTAGTCTCCAATCTTTTTATAGTCTACGTGTGCTATGTAGTTTATGAACTTTGCTTGAAATCATTTCTTCGTTTCGTTGGCTATTATATTGGCTCCTGAACGTGTCCCACTATTCAGTATGTCCATCTGTCAGGTTAGCTCGACGAGCCAGAAGAATGGTTTCATGGTGTGTATCTCTCAGATTATAGTAGTTTTTCAACTGTTGTGGGTTTTTATGTCAGCTTTAGAGATCTCCCCTCAGTTTGCAGACCGTTATGTGGTCGTGGGTGACCCTCTTTGGTGGACGTGTAGTGTAAAGCCAGAAGATTCGGTGGACGTCACATCGCTGTCGTTTGTGTGGAGGAAACAGGACGCAGAGCTCCAGTCGGGAGGTGACCTCGTGAACTACAACAATGGAACTATTTACTTTAAACAGGTTAGACTATTTCAAGCCCCCCCCCCACCCCCT